AGTGGTATCTCGTTGTTGTTTTAATTTGCAATTCCCTGATGACATGTGATGTGGAGCATCTTTTCATATGTTTACTTACCATCTGTGTATCTTGTTTGGTGAGATATCTGTTTAGACCTTTGGCCCATTTTAAAATCAGATTGTTTATTCTTTCACCAACTGTCTTGTTTACCATAGCTTCACAGTAAGTTCTCCAACATTCTCAGTCACTATTGCTTCAGCACATGTCACATGCTCGGTAGCTTCCCACAGTTCTTGGGTATTCTGGTCTGTTTGTTTCTTTTGTTTTATTTTCAGTCTCCATGTCTTTGCTCGTCATTTTAGGAAGTTGCTGTTGTCATACCCTGAATGAAGTCCAGAGATTCTTTCCTCAGCCGTGTCCAGTTTGAACAAGGAACTCCTTAAGCTTTATGTCTGTTACAGTGTTTGTTTTGTTTTTCAGCATTTCTTTTTTATTCTTTCTCAAGATTCCCATCTCTTCGCTTATATGATCCTTATCTAATTCTAATGCTTGTTCAGTCTCTTCAAATTGTTTTGTGCCCTTTTACTCTGCCTTGTAATTTTTTTTTGAGAGAGAGGAAGGGAGAGAGAAACAGAAACATCGATGTGAGAGAGAAGCGTAGATTGGCTAACCAGGGACCAAACTCAAAAAACCTAGGCATGTGCCCAGACCAGTAATGGAACCCACCACCTTTGGGTGCACAGGATGGACACTCCAACCAACTGAGCCACCCTGGCCAGGGCTGCCATGTAATCTTTCTAGAAAGGCAGATGTGATGTGCTGGGCGAAAGGGACTGTGGTAAACAGGCCTTTACAAATGAAGGGGTGAAAGGTCAGGGCAAGGCTGTGCTCTATGGTCCTGCCCCTGGTGAGCCTGAGCCCGAGCTTCTCTGTCTTCCCCCTTTGGTGGGACAGGATGGCTAGAGTGGCCTGGAGTTCCCTCTGTCCCTTACCCCACGTGGAAGGCTAAAGGGGCTGAAGCCCGGCCAGCATGGCTCAGTGGTTGAGCGTCAACCTATGAGCCAGGAGGTCATGGTTTGATTCCTGGTCAGGGCATATGCCTGGGTTGCAGGCTTGGTCCCCAGTGTGGGGTGTGCAGGGGGCAGCCGATCAATGATTCTCATCATTGATGTTTCTATCCCTCTTTCCCTCTCCCTAACTCTCTCTCTGAAATCAATGAAAACATATTTAAAAAAAAACAAAACTATTTTTAAAATAATCCTATATAATAAAAGGCTAATATGCAAATTGACTCAACGGCAGAACAAACAGTCGCTATGATATGCACTGACCACCAGAGGGCAGATGCTCAACACAGGAGCTGCCTCCTGGTGGTCAGTGCACTCCCACATGGGGAGCACCACTCAGCCAGAAGCCGGGCTCACAGCTGGAGGTGGTGGGAGCCTCTCCCACCTCTGGGGCAGTTGGACATCACCCGAGGGTTCCCGGACTACGAGAGGCCGGGCTGAGAGACCCCTGAGTGCACGAATTTCGTGCACTGGGCCTCTAGTAATAATAATAAAAAGAGGGACTGATAACTTCTAAGCTCCTCACTGGAAGCCAAGTGTATCTCTTGATAACATCTTCCTGAGTTGGCAGCTGTCTTCCTACCCTGTGATGTCATCCTTTGGAACACAGACAAAGGTGGGCATTGTCCAGACCACAAAAGTGACCTAATGTTCCTCTGTCCTGGCTAGTGTGAGTGACAGGCTTCTAACAGTACCCAAACCAGAGCAAAGCCCTCTCCTTAAACCTTTCTCCAAATCTCCTCTCACTGGCAGGCCTCACAGTTCCCCAGGGTCTCACCCGCTGGGTGGGTGAGTGACGGGCGGCGGTCCTGCGTCGTAGGCGGGGCAGTGGCCCTTGGGCTGCAGGGGGACCACAAGCGCTGTGTCTATCAGAACATTTCCCCTTTGGCAGGAGAGAACTCCCACCTTCAGCAGGACTCGGAATTCCCCGAGGATTGTCTGCGTCCAAAAAGCAGAGAATCATTTCTCTAAGTCCCATCTCTCAGTTTTCCTTCAGATCGTCCGGAGACCGTGAGCAGCTTCAGCGATGAAGAACCTGACTGCCGTTACCCGAGGAAGGCCTCGTGCCGAGGACACTCTGGACCAAAGGAGGAGCGAAGGTTCTCCTGACGATGCTAAGGATGCCCTCTATGGTGCAGACCTGGGAGACTCTGAAGAGACATCTGAACTGCGTACAAACTCTTCCTGGGGCACCCCCTTTTCTGCAGTCAAGTGCAATGATAGTGGAGCCATAGTGAAGCCCCAGCTGCCGCCGAGACAGGATCCAACTGTGCCAGCAAGACTGGCCTACATCGGTGCCTCCAGGGAGGATTCTCAAGGCAGATCCTTGTAGGCAGGTGACTGGGTTGTAGGCGGGTGTCTGCGATTACACCTGCTGCCAGGACACATAGGCCAGATCCTGACTTGCAATAGGAAAGTGGAATTGAAAGCTGACAGGGCACATCCAAAGGCAGAGCCAGTTTTGCATCTTGCCGCTGCCTATTGCAAAGCTGTCTGTTGCCTCATTGTGAAACTTGGTGCCGCCCTCCTTTGTTAACCAGCAGGCTAACAGGGAAGGAGGTCTTCCTGGGGGCACCCCCTGGAGGGACAGCAGGCTGGCGCCTCACCCGGCCAGTGGGTCATACCACGTGACCCTTTCTGGGCCTGCCTGTCACGGCAAGTCTGGGTGTGAAGCTGACAGCTTTCGGACCTTCGCCTGCCTGAGTGGATAGGCCCCCTGGTGGGGAGTCGGGGCAGAGGAGGCCTGTGGCCCTCACTACAGCAGTAGCTCCCACTGCCCCCATGACTGCAGGACCCCGGAATCTGCCAAAGACAACTTGGTATCTGGCTTAGGTGGGTTTGCAGCACATGGGGGACAGGGCGCTGGTTGGGCTTCATTCAACAGCATCACAGACTATAGGTTTAATCACCTTCCGTAGAACTGGGCCCCAAAGGACGCAGCCAGTTGTCTAGGCCGGGGCGGGGGACTCCCTGTAGGTCCAGAGGGTCAATAGCTGAGCTTCATTGAGAGCTTCCCCCAGCTGCCCAAACGCTCGTGGTTGCTGGCACCCTCAGTGTCCCAGTCACTTTTTATGGTGCTTCTAAGACCAAAAGAAATATCCAACGGTTCTACTTAGGAACTACTTTAGGTCTAAATAACTGATAAGTATGTACGTGTTAATAACTTATTAGTCACTTAGAAAGTAGAATTCACATCATTAGAAAGAAAACATAGTGCTTTTATATCATTCTCTTAATAATCACCAGTACTTACTGATCGGCCGTGAGCCCTGGCCAGCCCCTCAGACCTCAACATCAGCCCGCTCACCCCAGCATCATTTCCTGTTCCTTGGTGATTTTCACTTTTTATCCTCTAAACTACAGGAAATCCAGTGTCTCAAAGGCACGACGTGAAAGACATGTGGAGTGACCTAATGTTGAAACCGGGAACCACCTGGTCCTCGGAACTTGCTCCGAAACGTATGGGACCACTGCTTCCCTCTAAAATGTAGAAAATAGAGAATATCCCGGGCGCCTTGTGAGTGTCCGACAGGCGGGGACCTCGGGGCCACCTGCTCAGGGGTTTCACGCTTGCCTTTCTCTCACAGATACACTTTGCAGAGAAGGAACCTGCAGCTGCCACAGGCAGACCCCTGGCCTGCAGTCACAAGCCTGGCTCCAGCGCCCCCTGGAGGCCGAGAGAACAAAACTCAAGTGAGGGCCGTGGGGGCGAGGAGGGTAGGAGAACTAGGAGACCTGAGGCTGCTAGAATGGGTGTGGACAGGGCCTGGCCTTCGGAGGGTGGAGGGGGACGCGGCGCATGAGGAATGGTGCGGCCCCAGCAGAGGAACTGTTGGGGTGCAGTTGGGGACTCCATGACCCTACTGTGGCCCCCTTGCCAGTCCTCACCAGGCGTTTAAAGCCTTCAGAGTGGGGTCTCAGTGGCCTCTCCTACAAGGGGCGGGTAGAGAAAGTGGCCCCTCAGGCTGTAGGGGGTCTGAATCTCCCATGGGCATTGAGGCTGAAGCCGGTAGAGGGCAGTGGCCACGTGTACCTGGGCTCGGACAACCATACCGCTGGCCCTCACTGGGCCTAGGGTGACCCTGACGCGGCTTAGTAGTGGACCCTACCAACCCAGGAGCCTCTTGGGGAGCTGTGGGCAGAAATGCCCCAACAGATGAAAAAAGGAAGGGGTGGGGGGGTGCTGAGAAGACTACCGGAGGGGGCAGTGGTACCTGCGTCTCTGGAATCTGTCCCATCCTCTAGCCGTCAGTCTCTGCCGAGGTCCCCGCTTCTTTCTACTGGGCGGTGGGGGTGGGCCTGGCAAAACCCCGCGGCTTCCCGGAGGGGCGGGACTCCCTGGAGGGGTCAACCTGGTGGGCGGGGCCTGTGGCGTCAACCTGGCGGGCGGGGCCTAGGGGGTCAACCTGGTGGGCGGGGCCTAGGGGGGTCAACCTGGTGGGCGGGGCCTAGGGGGGTCAACCTGGTGGGCGGGACTCCCTGGAGGGGCCAACCTGGTGGGCGGGGGCTGTGGGGCGTCAACCTGGTGGGCGGGGCCTAGGAGACCTTCCCCACCTGGGGGAAGGCAAGGCCTCTGACCACAGTGCCCCAGAAGCTGCTGGGTCAGCCACTCACACCCTGGGGGCTCTACACTCCCCCACGGCCTGAGACTTCCGGTCAGGACAATACAAAATCTCTTTATTGTTCATGTTGTAGAAAAAGTCGTGCCTCTTGGTGGGCCACGGGGATAGGATGTGCAAAGCGCAGGCAGGCTCCACCCAGGCCTGTAGCTGAGAGCTGGGGTAGGACAGGGGAGAAGGGGAGCGGCGAGGGGACCCTGGCCCTGCTCTGGGGCTGGGGCTGGGGCTGGGGCACGTGCTGGGAGGCGGCCGGCCTGGGGAGTGGGTCATGGCGAGCGGCCCCTCAAGGGGTGCGGTCGGCTGGTCCCACCCCACCTAGGAGGAGGCTGAGGAGCCGAGCCCAAGCTCAAGTGGTCCCGGTTCTGGGAGGGGGTATCTCCAACATGAGGAGGGGGGCTGGAGTCCTTCCTGAAGATAGCGCAGAAATCAGAGCCCCTCCCCCCCCCAAAAAACGCGATCAACCGAGGCCGAGGGGAGGCTGTGCCCCTCACTGCTCCTCTGGCCCGTCGCCTCCCTGAGCCTGTTCGTAGGGGCAGGGCCGGCGGCAGAAGCCGGCTGGTTCGGGGCCGGGCCCCGCGGGCAGCGGCTCCTCCTCCCCGCCGTCCCCCCGGGCCGCCGCCGCCACCGCCGCCGCCGCCGCGCTCGCCCTCCGCGTCGCTCTCATCGGAATTGTCCTCCTCCAGGTAGCGGTAGCCGCGCACCTTGTGCTGGGGCCGCGGGATGCGGGGCTGGCGCGGGGCCACGCCCCGCCGCAGCTTCTGCTCCATCGCCAAGTAGGAGAGCGTGGCCACCACCAGCGTCAGCAGCAGCACCGCCAGCTTAGCCTGGGCGCACAGGGGAGGGGAGTGGGTGGGGTGCTGGGGACTCGCGGGCGACTGGGGTCAACCCGCCTCCCTGCCCAGTCCCTCGCCCGATAGGCCCATGCCCACCGCTTTCCTGAGCATCCACCCTCCTGCCAGCAGGACTCAGATCCCAGCTCTGCCCTTCACAGGCCTGGCCCCCCTTTGCCAGGGCTTAGGCCACTCTGTCCCTTACACGCCGGGACCACAGGTAACGCTTCTCAGACGGTAACCCACAGTCAGAAAGAATTCTCCATCATAACTCAATACCTACACGCTCCCATACATACTCCCTGCCACTTTCTATTCTGTTTCATGTTTTAAAATACTGGTCAGGAAGGACCTGCTAAACCGACCCACCCGTTGAGTGGGAGCAGAGCATGAGGACCCTGCTCCCATGGCCAGAAAGGGAGACGCACCTTCAGCATCCCTCTCAGAGCCCGACACCTGGTGAACAGGTTACCCAGGGACACACTAGGCGGCTGGGATGCCCCACAGGCAAAGAGCGAACTGTGAACCCCTCTGCCAGGGGTAAACTGAGGCCCTCAGGAGGGGAGGCAGCACGTGAAGGCTGGGTTTGGGGCCAGCCCTTGGTGAGTGGTGCCCTTCGAGGCTATGAGGCCAGGGTGGGCACTCGGAAGGGATCTGTTGCCTGTGCTGGGGGATGGTGGGTGCCAGAGGCCCTCCCCCAGCCCACCCAGCCTCACCTTCATGGGCAGGCTGGAGCCCAGGTACACCACGAAGATGGCCACTGCCTGCCACCAGTGGTAGATGGTGAAGATGAAGTCTTGCCTCTCTTTGTCCTCGTACAGGATGCCCAGCAGTGCTGTGGCCGACAGGGTAGGGCAGGGAGGGGAGTAGTGTCACCCAGGGCCCTGATCTCCCACCAGTGACCCTCCTAGGCTGTGCCGGGTCCCAGACCGAGGCCTGGAAAGCCTAGAAAGCTGTAGATCGGACCTGGCCTGCCCCCTAGTGGATATGCTGGTTACTACACTTCCCGGGCAGCTGAGCTGAGTAAAGAGATGAGATGGGACGCAGGTGGGCCTCGCTCTAGGGCACTCGGGACTTGAAAAGTGGAAACATTTGTGTGCAATCAGATCCCGTCCCCTTTCAGACCCCAGCCGTTCAGAGCCAGGCCTGCCAGGACTGTTTCTCCTCCTCACCCCTGGCTCAGGGAAGGCAACCTGCTTGCAGCAATCAGCTTTCTACAAATTAAACCTGAAGCTGGGGGATTTGAACCTATTTCCCTAAGAATCCTCCCTGGGGTGGGCAGGAGAACTGGACAGGGAGTCAGGGACTCAGATTCTATGCTCAGGCCGGTAAAGTGAGAGTTGGTACAGAGACGTGGATTCAAACGCTGGCTCTATGGGTGACTTAGAGAAGTCAACTCTCCAGGGCCACTTTTCCCATCTGGAAAATGAGACCAGGCATCTATGTTATACTTATGCTGGGAGGCTTTGATGTGAGAAAGCTCACACAGCACCTGGCAAATCGTACCCTCGCCTGCCCCTTGGACATGAACACCCCCACTGTAAGCCCTGCAGGGTGACTGTGCCCCATGGGGCTGCTGTGAAGGGACATGGAGTCCCAGGGTCCACAAAGAGGGGACAGGAAGCAGAGCTGTCGGGACCAGGCCCAAGTCCAGCCATAACATGGGTCCAAGGTACCCAGGCTGGATGTTGCCCAAAGCTGGCTGCCCCTGAGCAAAACAGCCAAGAGACTGTGGTCCAGGGCGTGGGGCTCCACCCCCTGACTCTCTCTCTGATGGTAAGTGCCGGAGTCACCCGAGCAGCAAGCATGACCTCCACAATGCCACACCCCCAGGGGCGACGTTCAAAACAGTTAACAGCACGGCCCATCAGAACAGATGCCAATGTGGAGGGCCCCAAAGGCTGAGCTGTGCGTACCCACTGCATGTCACTGGCATATGCCCACCTGAGGGCAGAGATCATCACAGAGCTGAACTCTGCCCACTGCCTCCTTTCTACAAACAGGGCCCCGCTTCCCAGTGCCTCGACCCCCACAGCCCAGACTTGGGGCCTGGACTCTGCAGACCAGCACTGGGCGTCATCGGGCTTCCAGGTCCTCTCTGTAAAGGCCACACCTACATCTACACCTGGGTGTGGGCAGGGCCGCCCACACTCCCCATGCTCCTAGGGCACAGACACGGAATCTGCTCGCAGTGTCATGAAAACTCTGTCCAATGGGCGCTGTCCCTGGTCTGAAACCTGAGTACCCCCAGGATGTTTTTCACACTGCCCTTCAGAGGTTTCCACAGAGCCCATACCTACCCCAAGTAGCCATAGATGTCACACTACCCCTCAGTGTCCACAGGGCCCCATGCCCTCCCTGGGGTAGCCACTGAATATCCATGGCATAGGACTCCCACACCAGCCCCCGGGGTGCCCACAATTCTCCCCACCTGTCCCTACGATGTCCACAGAACTTCTTTCCACCCCTGTAATGGCCACAGGGATCCACAGTTACCCCTGCCATGTATACAGGACCCCAGGACAGACCTCCCGTGTGTCTATGGCACCCCATGTCTGGCCCTGGGATGTATGTGCTACCTCCAACTGCCCCAAGGTAGACACAGGGTTACCCAGCCATCCCAGTGCCCATGGCTATACTCACTGGAGAGCCCGGTCTTGTTGAGGCCACTGCCCACACCCCAGAGGATGGCTGCTACATAGAGGATCCAGATGTGTTGCAGGACCCGAGGTGTGGGGGCCCAGAAAAAGAGGCTGACGGTGAGCAGCAGGTGCAGTCCGGCCCCAGACAGCAGCGGCACCTGGCGCGGCAGCCACAGCCCCAGCAGGCCCAGGAGTGAGGAGGCGGAGGCGCCCAGGCCATACGCCACAAGGAGGTAGGCCAGGCGTTCCAGCCCCACGGAGCACACGCCATAGCCCTGGGAGGGGGGGGGGGGTGAAAGTGTGAGGTCAACTGGCCAAGGCTCTCACCCTCCCCACATGAGGTGTCCACCCTGCCCTCTCTGGGTCACCTTGGGGCTAACTCCCTCCAAGGGTCAAGGTTCTTAGGAAGGTTGGGGGGCGGGGGGTAGGGAGCAGAGAAAATGCTTGGGCATTGTTCCCAGGCACCAAGGCTGCACCCCACAAGGAACCAAACACTTTATGGGTGTTATCCTGTCTCAATCATGTAACCCCTCCGGGAGCGGGAGCGAAGGTCATTACTAGACTCACTTCTCAGAGGAGGAGACAGGCGCAGAGAGGTTAAAATAATGTGTCCAAGATTGAGGGCAAGTAAAGGAAGGGAAGAGGGAGGGGAATATTGGGACATATTTGTACATACTTAGACCTATATTCAAAACTTAGTCGCTGTTTATCCGAGGTTCGAACGGAACCACACAGACTGTATTCCACCGCCATCTACGCGGGCTGTACCTACCAGCGCGAGGCCCGTGCAAGCAAAGAGCACCTCGAAGCCGCTGTAGATGAAGAAGGGCACGAGGTGGCGCAAGCGGAAGTCGCGCACGTGCTTGAAGGGCAGCTGGAAGATGTTGCCCCAGCCCACGCTGCGCAGGTCGATCTCCTCCGTGGGCCGGTAGGCGGCCCCGCACAAGCCCAGCACCTGCGGACCCGACCCGCGCCGTGAGGGGCCGGGCAGCCAGGAAAGGCCCCGCCCCTAGACACACGCCCCGCCTCTCCGCACAAGGTCCCGCCCCTAGACACACGCCCCGCCTCTCAGCACAAGGCCCCGCCCCTAGACACACCCACAGGCCTCCCCTCGCGCCCCAGCCCAGCTCACACCGAGCCACGCCCCCAACGCCTCAATTCTGCCCCCAGTGCCGCCCCCGGGTTGGAGCCACACCTTCCACCCCCGGCCCAGCCCAGGCCGGTTCCCTCCAACCCAGTCCCCACCTCAACCCCAGACCAAGTCTGTACCCCTCCAACTCCAGTCTCAGTCCACAGGCATCTTCCTGCCCGACTGCCCCAAGGCTCAGCGGGGCGACTCCCCCGGACTCAGCCCTGGCTCCCCACGCAGACCACGCCTCCAGGCCGCAGCCTGCCCAGGAGCCAGCCCCCGCCCAGACTGCACCCTATGTCCCCGCCTCAGCCCCCCGACGTCGGTGGACTTCCGACCCATCCCTCCCGTCCTGGCCGCAGCAGCAGGATGGGCTACCAAGGCCACGGAC